GTGGGTAAGGTAGGTTGTGTGATAAAAGAGTTCGGTTTGTGCTTTAGAGCCCAAATGTATTGTTAAAGGCAATGGTTCGGGCTTTTCATGAATTTTGGATCTGAGTTTGAGTGGGCTTCAGGAGGAATAAAGTTGATAGAAGTGTAGGGCTTCTCGTTACCTTTTCGTGGATATAAGGATCGTCAGAAACGGATTTATAACGAAGAAGTTATGACCTTCGGAAGTTTCGTGGTTTCAGGCTTAGCCGAATACGCGGGGAATACATAAAGCGTATGCTGGGCGTACTAGTGAAGAAGGCGGTATACCGGGCGTACTGACCAGGATGGTCGCGAATGTTCTTCGGAGTACTCTGGGCGTACCATATGTACGTTGGGCGTACGCCAATCAGACCTGAACCCTATTTTAGGGTCTTGGACCCTATTTAAGCTCCTTATCTCATAACCTAACCCTAATATCTTCAGCCTCCATCTCTCTAAACCCTAGAAATCGACCCTAATCCTCCATTTGATTGATTCTTGAGCTTTTTGGTGTTTTAGTGAAGTTTTGGTGCTTATTGTGGAAGGAGTTCCTTGAGGAACCATTGCTTGGCTTGAAGCTTGTGGATCCAAGCCCTAATCATATTGATCTAGCTCCAGAAAGCATAAAGTTTGAATCTTGGTGTATTTCTCATGTGGATCTAGTGGGGTGATGACTTGTTATGTCTGTCCATTAAAGAAGAAGAATCCTTGAAAGAGAATATTGAGCATCTAGCTTTTGGATCTGAGTCATACACTTGTTGGTGCATCTTCCAGAGGTATCAAGTTCGAAACTTGCTTATTGTTGTGTTAGTTCTTGTTTTGAGTCCATTTTTAGGATCTTATGTCCCAAGCTTGGAAATTTATGAGTTTGATGAACTCCATAGTATAATACTTGTCCTTTTAGATGCTTTTAGTTGTTTGGAGTCATAAAATGAGATCTTAGTCGTCAAGATCTCTCCATGCATGAGATATGAGCATTTTTGGTAGTAAAGAGTGAGTGTATTTGGGTTTGGGACTTTATCAGCCATACAAAGGCTTAAAGTCATGAACTTTATGGAGTATGAGCCTTTAGGGAGTCCAGATCTGAGAGTATAGCTATGGTCTTAACGGGTTAAGACCAAGAGAGTGGAAAAAGAAAGTTTGGACGTACGCCGAGCGTAAATCTAGTACGCCCGCGTACTGAACAAGTGTCCCCGATGTCCCGATCTGGATTTGTGCGTACGCTGAGCGTACCAAGGGAGGTACGTCGCGTGTAACCTTGCTGTGGGCTTTTTGGGCTAAAACCCACATTGGGCCTTAAGTGTTGGGCCTGGATTTTTGGGCCTATTGTGCTGGAGATTTTGATAAGTGGAATATTGGGTATGTCTTGGACCTTTGTGTTGGACTTGCCATTTGGACTTAAGTTTAAGAGTTGGGCCTTGGGAGAGCCCATTTAGTATTGGGCCTTGGTGGTCCCAATGGGCTTGAGTTAATTGTGGGCCGGGTAGTGAGATATCTTTAGACCTAATGAGCGAGGTTTGTTCTTAGATCTTAATTGGGTTAATTGTGGGTTTGGCTCAGTGTTAGAGACCGGTGTTCAGCAGCAACAATTATGGGAGCTGTTCATCATCCAAGGTGAGTCTTCTTACTATACTTACCTTGAGTGATAATTTTGTGTGGCCGGAGGGTCTTGTATGTTCATATTGAGCTATGTGATATTATGCATTTGTCTTTGTGATATATGCTATGTTATTCTGTGTTGTACTGAGTTAGGACCGGAGGGTCCAAATCGAGTTGTGAGACCGAAGGGTCTTCACTGAGATATAGGACTCGAGGGTCCACCCCGAGCCGTGAGACCGGAGGGTCCTCACTGAGACACATGACCGGAGGGTCCACACTGAGACGCATGACCGGAGGGTCCGTGCCGAGCTATAGCCACGAGAGGCTTATTATTTGTGTATGTGGTATTTTGGGGAACTCACTAAGCTTCGTACTTACCGTGTTATGTGATATGTGTTTCAGGTACTTCTGAGGATTGCAGGAAGGCGCCGACTTGATTGTACACACCTGTTCGAGATTATGTTTGAGGATTCTGGGATATTATCAGTTGTTGTGTTGATTTCTGTTTTGACAATTGATACATTGTGGTTTTGAGAAAATATGATAATGAGTTTTATGTGATTTACAAACGATTTTTTTTTTGAAAATTTACGGTGTTACACAAAGACCCTAAAAGCACACACTAGAATACGCATACACCCTATTCTCACTTCCTAGAGAAAGGCTAGACATTCCTCAACTGGCCGACTGACCCCACGTGACTTATCCATGAAACTTCCACCAACCCTGCAACACTCGTGTATGCTAATCATACATAGCACTGGATCCTATAGACAATCGAATACCTAATTCAACCCTAAGTCCTTCATTAGACAAGAACATGAAATAAGGCTAAACCAAATATTCTCATGCTATAAAATGTTACTTATGTACAACTATGATGCATACACTAAGCAACTACAATAATGATGTCAATTCAATACAAGAAGAAAACCTAGGCTATTAGGCATTAATTATCAGTCAATTCTATCATACAGTTCCTGAAGATCCCTAGCCTATCACTAGCATGCTGTTCTACCATAAACATAATAGCAAATAACAGTGTGGGTAATTTGGGGTATACTTTCTTGCTCCGGCTGATTGTACGCATCGCATCCTTCCTTGTTTACTTTTAAAAACAATGTTTGGAAAATTAGTTAAAAAAAACTTTTGTAGTTCCTTAGTTTGAGTTTGGATTAACACGAATGCTCATCCAATGCACTCAAACCAAGGCTATGAGACCAATTTGTAACACTAAAAAATCACAAAAAATTATTTTTTTTGAAAATCAACCATTCATCAACAATGTTTACAAAACAATCATTGTTTTCAAAGTATTATTTCAAATCATAGTTTTTCCCCAAGACCTAGTGACAAAACAGGAAGCTTTGTACGATCACACCTTCGCCTTCCCACGATTCTCGGAAGTACTTGAAACCACAAACTAAAACTGTAAGTCAAAGCTTAGTGAGTTCTCCCAAAGTACCACCACACAAGCATATAATCAAACAGACAATGGGTCCACAACCTCATGGTTGGATTACCCATGTCCCACAACCTTACGGTTGGAATGTCCAATACATAACGGGTCCATAACCTCCTGGTTGGATTACCCCTGGCCCACAACCTTCCGGTTGGAATGCCCTGGCCCATAACCTCCTGGTTGGTCAAAATCAACAAGTCAACCGAGTCAACCCAACCGAGTCAACTCAATCGAGTCAACACAGGGCTTGTACGAGGGGCGTACTCCGGATGTATGCGGGGCATACTCGCTGTCCGATACGTCGGGGCCAATCTGCGTACGCGTAACGTACCCTTCGGTATGCCCATCGTACGCAACAGTCCCTTTCTTAATCTATTACGAGCTTATTTCTCCGACTTAACACATCCAAATACAGATCCAAGGCTAAAATGCCACTAAGAGTCATAAAGTTTCCGACTTTATGACTTTTCATGTTCATTAAGTGCTTAATACACAAAATCTCAACATCTTAATGCCTTAAGACCTTCTATAGCATGCATGGAGTAAAACTAAGCATCAAGATCACATTTTTATGACTCAAGACCCATCATAAGGTCTGAAAGGATGAATTATTTGGTTAAGAGCATGCCATGCTCAAGAATCACCATATTTGGTACCAAAAGTGCCCTAAATGAAGACATGGCTAGATCTACAAGATAAAGTGATCAAGTTAGGAACTTTTTATCTCCTGGAGGTAGCTAGCAAAGTGATAATCTCAGATCCAAGTTCCAAGCTTCAAGCTCTTCTCACCACCACCTTCTTCTTCTTATTCTTCTTCTTATTCAAGAATGTCACAAAACACAAAGATAAGCTCAAGATGCACTCTTCTCACTTAGGGTTAGCTTGGGAGTCGTTTTTCTCAGATGGAGGCTGGTAAGGGAATGATAGATAAGAGATAATTATGCTTAAATATGGACAAAACCCTAAAAATCAGGGTTTGAAGTTCCACCACGTACGCCTTGCGTACGCGGTGTACGCCCAACGTACTAGGGTCCACCCTGCGTACGCGGTGTACGCCCGACGTACTAGGGTCCGCCCCAGTACGCCTAGCATACACAACATACGCTCAACGTACTACCTCCTGACCAAAATTACCAAAATGCCACTATGGGCCATTCTTGCAATCCTTTCAAACCCAAAGGTCAAAATGCATTGTTCTTTCATACTCAATGCTAAAACTGAAAATACTCCATCATCGGGATGTTATAATGTCGCACTGACCCCTATATAAAATGGGATTAGCCTTTCCATATATGTTTGTCAACATGTTTTGTCTTGCGGTGGGCTTGTCATGATGAGAAATGAAGCAACAATATCTCCCCATGAGTTACTCCTAACTTGTTGTGATTCCATTTTACATAGTTAAGTCCACTTACTACTACTTATCCAAACTCCAACGATTAAGCAAACACCACATTATCACTCGTGTTGCCCCCTTAGATTCCAAGAACAACCGAACTAGATGGGACAATATTCATTTTATTTTTGCCCGATAAGTACAACGATATTTCTGATCATGACAATATAATACCTTCACAAATCATCCCATAACGCTTGCTTAATGCTGTAATTGACATTTTTGAGTAAACCATAGCGTTGATATAATGTGTTTGAAAAAAACACATATAAGTCCGTTACGTTGAATAATTACAAAATAGAATACATGAATTAATAGCCAGTAAAAATATCTTCATTTTGTTGGAGTTAAATAGTAAATCCTTTTGAAAAATAGAAAAAAGAGAAAAGAGTCCGTGGGCTGGGCCCGGATCCAGTTATGTCGAAACCCGTATCGAGACCATATGCGAGCAGGTTTCAAGTTTCATTGCTACTAAAAGCCCTAAATACAAGAAGAAGGGTTGGGAGTTTGGATTTTGGAAGAAGCCATGGCAGAGCTGAATAGCAACGAAGAACCACATGTATTGCCGTCCAAGCGAAAGCAAACTGCCACAGACGCAGATGTCGAGTCCACAAAGAAGCACCAAGTAGAGAGTTGTGCCGTTAAAGACGCCTCCGCTGCCGCCGAAGAGAAAGTTATCAACGACAATGGAGAGGAAGAGGAAGAGGAAGAGGAAGACTATGACGGAGAAGACGATGTCGATTCGGAAGACGAAGAAGATGATGACGACGAAGACGAAGACGAAGTTGAACATTCCAACGGCGGAGCTGAAATTGATCGGAAGGGGAAAGGGATAATGAAGGATGATAAGGGTAAAGGAAAGCTGATCGAAGAGTCCGAAGAAGACGACTCTTCCGATGATGACGGCGCGAGTGAATCAGACGGTGATGATGATGATCTTTCCGATGATCCGTTGGCGGAGGTCGATTTGGATAACATTCTTCCTTCAAGGACACGGCGTCGTACGGCTCCTCCGGGGTTGCGCATTTCTAATGATAAGTTCTCCAACGATAAGGACAACGATGCCTAAGCTTCAAGGAGGTTAGCTTAGTTGCCGCTTCAAGAATCCACCTTATTTTTTTTTTAAACTTAGAACCGTATTTGCCGACGTTAAGGTTTTACAAGCAATGCTGCTACTGTTGAAGAGTGAACACATTTCTGTGGTGTAAGAAATATTAAGGTCGTCTAGGGTTTGAATATGCTGTCGTATTAATATCAATTGAGCTGCCATTGATAAGTCTTGCTTTACTTGATTTCTGGAATCTTTTAAGTTACTCTCACAATTAGAAGGCTAGTTATGGCAGAGCTCCTAAATGCACAAATGAAAGAAACTGAAATGGGATTAAGCTGCAGTAGTTTTGCTCTACACTTCTACTCTTAAGATCATATTTGGCTATCTTTATTTAGCTCTTTGATAGTTCTCGATTGAAATCAAATACACAGTGTTAATCAGAATGACTTCACTTCACCATCATGATTTTCAATCTCATTCACTCTTCATGTCCTTTGGAATATTCATTTTCATTTTCATTTTCATGGTCAAATCTTGATTTTGGTTTGGAGTTATGAAGTATCATCTTCAAAAGATCTCCATACATTACATGGACATCTTCATGCATGAACATTATGATTTGTTACGAAATTAAGAATTATCTTTGAATCCATAGTCTGTTTCGTTTTTAGTAATTGAAGTGAAGCGAGGGAAGAGTTTATGAGTAGTAGTGTATGTGTTTTCAACACTCATAACATTACATGTTGTGATGTGGGCTATCAGTATCTTGTCTACAGGACTACATGGCATAGGACATAGGTAATTAAGGAGCCGAACTATCCAATTTGAGTCAAAGCATTTGAATAAAAGTATTACATTTAATATAAATGTCTTGTTTTTTTAATTGTCATCTTCATCATCTTTTGTACTTGTGGCTTGAGCTATTTCTTGTTCAAGTTTTTCATTTTATATGTATTCCATGATTTCCATCTTCTTGTCATGGCTCTCCAGTGTTAAGCATATGCATAGTTCTACTGAGTGGAGATTGGACTGCAAGTCTTGTTATTTGCAACTATACTGCACAAAATATGAAAGTCCAGATCACGAAAAACTGCAAGTTGAACACATAATTTAACAAGAATTGAAGAAAAGATGACATTTTTAAGTGCATTGAAACGAAATGCAACAAATCATATTTATACATCACTTGGAGCAGAATGGTAATGTTTTTTTTTTTGGCCAAAAACAGGTCCCTAAGATTAGTTCAAAAAAATTTAATTTTGAATTAGTTTTTGGACCGGGTTCCATTGTTAATATAGCGAACCCAGCTGTCTGAACACGTCATGTTCATGCAGTCTGGACCTGTTCCAACTTTTTTTTTTTTTTTTTTTTTGCATCTTATTAGGACATGTTAGACTGCTTAAATAACTTATAACTTAGCTTTTTTATTAACCTTGATGTAGTTTATTTATAAGCTAGCACCCTAAACATGGTCTTAGTATTTTAAATAATTAACCTATTAAATATGATATATACATATATAAGCAGTATAATCAAAATAATAAGATAAACTTTTTATATAAAAACGATTTATAGGCTGCATCCAAACTTGAGATTACTAATGTCGTAATATGTTTGAATATCCATCTAAATATAACTACATGACATTTAACAAATTTTATGCAGTTAATTGAGGCCAGCGAAACTAGATTCCCCGATTTCTCAAATTTCATGCTCTACGGCTGTTCATAGAGATGCATATTGGCCCAGCCGACCTGGGCTTTCCAACTCGACCCAATTCTAAACCGCCTCAAGTCCAACATGATATTTCTTTTGGCAGCCCGGTTGTGCACCTCTACATTCAATTCATACTAAAAACACAAACCCACAACAAAACTTAAACAATGGGTCCTAAATACATGACAGTCAAATTTTTAGAACAAATCATGTTAAGATCATTATATATATATATATATATATATATATATATATATATATATATATATATATTCACACACACACACACATATACACACACACACATAAGTATTGGGCAATCCTTAATCTAAAAATGTTACAAGAATTTATGTTAATCAGCGTAACCTTTGTATTGTGCATATTTCAAATTCAACATGTCATTGATAAAGTGTTTGCTTTCATTCTCCTTTTCATTTCATCACTTTCAGTCGCATTGCCTAAACCAAACACATTGAAGATAAAAAGGAGGTATTTAACCTACAATGCAACCACTAATCTCAAAAATCCAGGATATTGTGTACTATTTTTCTGTTAACGAACCCTCATGAGGATGCAAACCAGCACAACAGAATACCAATGCACAACAGTTTGAGAAATGGGGAGTGTTGTAATTTGTAAGGTGTCGAAGAAAGGGTATGGGGATAATGACTTGATAGGGTAAAATACTTTTTGAAATGTACACATTTAGTCATTATTCTTTTTTTTTTTAATATGTACACATTAGGTCATTTTCACCGGATTCTACAGGTTTTGCTGATGTGGAAGAGTTTATTTTACAAAAAAAAAAGAATAAGGACTAAATGTGTACATTTTAAAAAGTATCTTACCCTATCAAGTCATTTTCCCTTTCTTTTATTTTGTTGAAATGAAATACCCAGGTGGCATCCACATATCCACAACGAGATTTTTCAAACTTTTATTCATCATGAAAAAGAGGGAGAACCCCGATCTCCGGCGACTCCTTTGTGTGTTCCTACACATCACTGGTAGAAGGAGGAATGATGGCAAAAACAACAAGGTCGAAGGGGGAGGCATGAGGAAGTAGAGACGGTAGTTGGCGGCGAGGAGCTGCTCTGGTAGCCCCCTCGTCGATTCTTTCTTCTTTTTCTGGCAACATATCTCAAAGATGGAGGCAAAGAGAGACAGATCCGAGAAACACAACAGGTAAAGGGTGTTTGGTTGTTGCTGTTCGACTGGAAGGAAGAGAGACGAGAAAGGGAAGGGTCGCCTCCCTTTTCTTGTTGCTGGAGGATCACCCACCTCCGGTGACTAAGCTAATTAATTGCTATTTAGTGCCACTTGTGCTTCCACATCAGCAAAACCTGTAGAATCCGGTGAAAAGGACCTAATGTGTACATATTAATAAAGTATAAGGTTTATTTTACAAAAAAAAAAGAATAAGGACTAAATGTATACAATTCAAAAAGTATCTTACTCTATCAAATCATTTTCCCTAAAAGAAAATTCGTATATGACCGGTATACCGGGTATAGCCGGTCACAAGGATTGCATTGTTACAAAAAATAAAGTATAAGGGTTTATTTTACAAAAAAAAATAAGGACTAAATGTGTACATTTCAAAAAATATCTTACCCTATCAAGTCATTATCCCAAAGGATATGTCATAAAGACAATTGCAAAAGTTACAAATATTTTTATCTCCAACAGTCTTTCTAACTGTTTTGTAAATGACATGGTAACGGAGAGTTATTTAACTTGTACGGCCACCCCCACCCCACACCCATGACCCATTCTCATACTTTATATCTACACCGAGCTCTTAATTAAGCGACCCTGACCTAACCCTAAAACAAGATATATATTAATTGTTTTTATCAACTGCAATGATATATATTCATTTTTTAAAACTATCTTTTTTGCTTTATATATTATATGGAAATTCAATAAAAGAACATAGGTGTGAGCGGATAACAATTTAATAAATGAAGTTTCTAATTAGATGAATATATATATATATATATATATATATATATATATATATATAGTATATATATATATATATATTAACAAATCTATAAACCAAATGGAAAACAATCTTTCTATATCAACCAAACCCACACCAAGTTCCAATCATTCAAATTTCAATTACTTTGATAAATTTTATTTGCCTAAAAAATATTATATGAACCAAACACTCCTTAGTAATCTTTGTGTACGAGAAATTATATTATTTTGTTATTCTATATATAGCAGTATATTTTAATTATTTACCTTTTTATCTATTAATTTAGTTTGTTAAATCAATTTATTACTAATTATATACTATAAATGCCTCACTCACGATCAAGTTATAAAATAATGACTTATATCTTATATTTTCATTTATAGAATGCTTATTTTATTTCAATAATTAAAAATCATATTCTATATGTCTAATCCTTAAAGTATTTAAATATTACTTTGCTATCATGCACATCCGTAATCTTATTCCTAAATATACATATTTGTTTAATAAGAGTCTTGAACCATTAACAATTTCGTTCTCTCTTTTCTATTTCTTTTATAATTTTTATTATTTATTTATCATTTATGTATTTAAGAATACAATGGGCTCTACTCCCTATCAACGTGATATCTCCCAAACCTTTAATACTCAATCTAAAACTCAAACTCAATTGACATGCCACACTCCTACCACATTTAATCCTCCTCTTTCACGTCATCAGAGACTTTTGTTGTCCGCCATGCTGCCAACCTCTTCCATACCAACCCCCACATGTTGCCACACTCCTACCTTCACCCTCTCTATTGCCCCTCATGCCACCCTCCTCTTCCATGTCATCGCTGATCTCTCCAGTCGAGCCATAGTTTCTGATCATAGTCTCCGTTGATACCCATTAAACCTTTTCATTTGAGCGTCTCTACTACAAGCTCCTCTACTTACACATCGCCACCGATTTTTGGATTTTTGAATTTGATTTCAACTTGGCAACCTGGCATCAATATTTGGATTCGATATTAGGGGATTCTGATCTCGATCCCACATGGCCAATTGAGTTTTAGTCTTATCTTTAGCCTTACACCCAAGCTTGGTCTTCGAATGGAATAACTCAAGTCAAGTTTGCTCTACATTCAAGGTCTTCGTTATAAACTAACAAATCTATAAACTGAATAGAAAACAACCTTTCTATATCAACCAAACGCACAACGGGTTCAATCATTCAAACTTCATTTATTTTGACAAAATTTATTTGCCTAAAAAATATTCTATGAACCAAACACCCCTTAGTAATCTCTTTGTATGCGAAATTATATTATTT